GATAGTAGTACTATAGCTCTATAATTTGAAATAATTGTTGCACCGCTTTTTTATAGAGTGGTGTGATTACCGCATTTTTTGAATGCCGGGGAAGGATCCATCCAAAAAGGAATGATAATTGAAATATGTCATTGGTTCTACAATAGTGTCGACCACTTGCCTTAACAAAACAAAAACTAATGTTTTTAATAAAATATAGCACGCAACAGTCACTCGTTTTTTAACCACTCGCTTGGCTGCCCTCCGCTGGTGCCAGACAAACTCGTGATAATATTCTAATTTCAAATTTTCTTGATCTCACCTTTCGAATTGTTCGAATTAATAGTTAATTATTTGAGGATGTCATTTAGAATACATTTCTATACTTAATATAGAGGCACATATTTGGTCGAGTGATAATTTTTGTATAATGTCAAAATTAACAGAAAATTTAAAAAAAATCATCATAATAAATGCTCGCTTTTGTTGTATTTTGTATTGCCTGCATATTTGAACTTTGAGGTCGGAAAAACGATACGTCAAAGAAGAACAACAAAGTTAATATTCGATGCATACTTTTTGTTGGCTACATATGGACCAGTCTGAGTTATCGAATCAGCTTCGATCGGCAACCGATCAAATTTAATAAAACCTGACGAAGGTAAAATTTAATTTCCCATGAACCCCTGTCGAGGGCAAACGAGGCAGCAGCGGTCTCACCTCATTATAAGCTTTTCCAAAATTCAGCGATAGTTCATAAATGCAACGTAAAGCGGGAGGAAAAGGCGAGCTCTTTATAATGACCGAATGATCATCTCGAGAGCACTCTCCCAAATTGAAAATGGTAATAATATAAAGGCAATGCTAATAAATTCACAAAGGGACCGATCTAAAAAGCGCAGTATTAAGCTATTCGCTGGTTATAACCTGCCCGATATTCGAGTTCGAATAATAATCTCAAGATAAACCCTCCTCGATGAAATTTTCGAATCTTGGGGGAATAAAATACTTTTTGCTGATGCGAGAGGTTATTAATAATTATTATTTGGAAAAGATTTTCCGGGTCCATCATTTCAAATCTCTGCGACCCTTTCTCTTCACACTTTTATGAAAAAATACTTAAATGTATATTTAATGTTTGGAACGTAGCGACATGGATAATCAGTTTTACTGATTATCCATTCATTTCGTTTCCGACATATTGATGATTCTTTAAATGATTTTTGATTAACATCCGAAAGTTGGCTATTTTGGAGTAGGGAGTAGAGAAAATTTTGCAAAATTTTTCTTCCATTACATTATATATACTAAATCCAGAGTTTTTGAAGATAAAATGTCTTTGACGCTTCATCGCACAACAATATTTTTAACATATTTAAATTCCAGATTGAATAATACAAACAAAGGAATATTTCCGCACAACCTTTAATAGGAATAAGCCTTTAAAAAACAAAAAAAACTCGTTACACGACAGGTTTTGGTTGTGGCTAACTGCGTTGGAAAACTCAATTACTATTAAATCTCGCGAAAAGAAGACCAATTTTATTTATTCAACTCCACTACCATGCAAAAACAAATGCATCCTGGAATTGTAATGCCTTCTTTATAGAGGTGGGCAGGACCTGAATAATTTAATTAGCTCTAATTTTTCAATTAGGAATTATACAAACAATTTATTTATGGTTTGGAGACAAATATATAAGTCGAATCGCTAGATGGATTGAGTCCTGGTTCTGGCGCTTGTCGCTCTGCCCTGGCTACTAATGCCATTTATTATTGTCGAATAAAATCTTTTTGATAAGTGGAAAGACTTTTTTTCTTTCCTAACTCTAGACTACCTTAGTTAGATTAAACTTTCTTTTGTTTTCACAATTTGGATGATTTATATTTAATATTTCCTGTGGGTCATGTTACCTGTAATAAAGTGCTATTATAATTATTATTTCTTTGCAATTTCTGTATACTGTTTTTGTTAAAGTTTCCCGTTATTATTATGCAAGCGTTCCACGTTTTTCAAGGCAGACTATGTCGGTATAATTTTTGAAGTTTAGGTTTTGGCATACAACGTAGTTTTTTAAAAAAACTTGCACAGGGCACTGTAATACTTTTTACAAAACTTCTGAATTCCTCCTGCGTCGGTTTTTGCTGAGTCGAACTTGCTAACGTTTCGCCAATCATCCCGTTGGCTTCTTCAGAGCTTTGTTTATAGATTTCTACAGATCTTCGGATTTTTCGTGGGTAGAAGAATTGATTACTTGCAAGAATTTTAGTTTTATCGAACAAAAATTTATGTCCGGTTTCATGATGGTGTTCGGCAACAGCTTTAGAACTTTTGATATGTGGTCAGTGATATTTTGAATGTAAGGGAGGATCACAGTCTCAAATGTAGGATTGCTTTCATTGCTATTGGAATGTTGTGGTGAAGTGTATATTTTGATCGAAGGCTTAATATCTTTAATGTGGAAATTATTAGAGAAAAGAGCAGAGGTAAGGTGTTTTAATTCTGGGTTCAGTGACTCTGGCTGAGTGAAGCCTCAGCAAGATCGACTCAGTAAAAACCGACGCAGGAGGAATCCAGAAGTTTTGTAAAAAGCATACAACGCAGTCTTTAACTCAGACGTTTCGTTTATCAAAAGTAATATTAATGGAAAATTTTTGAATAATCATAAAGTAGAATTTTCTTTCCATTTTAGGATTTAAAATCAGCTCATTGTTATTCGATATACTTTCTAGAACCCTTAAATTCCGTTAGCCCGGCTGAAGATATCAATTTATACAAATTTCTGTCATTATGGAATTATTAAAGAACTTTTTTCTTTAGAGTAGACCGATAATCAGAATATTATCGACAATCATACTTTGTCAATAACTGTATCCAGATTTTTGTACTTAGATAACAATTTACTCTAAGGGTTATCGAAAGGGAATATTTGGAATTACGTGAAATGTGAAATAAAAATAAATTGACTTCACTTCTGCTCAACGCTATGCGCGAGTCATGAAAAATTCTGAAATTAGTGAATTTAGATTCAATTAGAAAATAACTTGGAAAAAAATGCTTGATTTTAAAAATTAACAGATTAAAGGATAAAAAAGTTTCGTGAGAGTGAAATATTAAAAGGTTAGCAGTGACGAGAAGTAGATAAAACATTATGATACGAAAAGTCACACTGTAAATTCTTATTTGTATTTTAGAAGCGTATAAAACATGATTCATACTAAACAAAGATTAACGCTGCAGTCATTAGTCAGAATCAGCTACACAAACTATATTCCCATTTTCGTGCGAATGCGCTTATTTCAATAATTTCTCTGCTCGCAATTATTATAACTCGAAATGCTATTCAACAACTTCGAATTTCGTGGGAAATGTTGGTGAAGTTTTATTGGCGGTTCTTTAGTAATGATTAGAGAGTCGTTCGGTGAGCAAGTTCAATTTGCAAAATATCTTGACCGAACATCAAGATTTGTAACTCAATTTAGGACTTCGGTGGTCGAGTCTTGACACTATACAACAGTGAACTCGATCAAAACTGGAATAATTCCACCATATTGCACTTGAGATAAATATGAATTTTTAAGTGTACTTCCTTGCAATAGTTCTACTTACCTATAAAACAAATTCTGTAGTTGGAACGGTATCCTAAAATCTAATTTAGTCATGCACGACGTGTCTGTCTTTTATAATTACATATCAATCGTTATAAAGGAGCACTTTCCTATTTTCTCATAATCTCCTTTCGCTATTACGAAACCATTTGAAAACAAGTAAAGATAACGATAAAGATTATTTAGTAAAAACTGAAAATAACTTAAAGCAAGATACAAAAATGTTTTGGTCATATATAAATAACAGAAAGAATACAAAAGCGTTTCTGTCTAAAATAAGCTAGAATTGGGTAACTGCGTCAGACTCCCACCACTATTTTGTGTTTGAGCCGAATAATACTCATTTCTACATTTCATCTAATGACTTGAATAAGAGCGTCGAAATCAACAATTTTTCTAAAGAATGAATCCGTTTTAGATCTAAAAGAAGGACCAGGGGCAAAAGTAGTGTTCAACTTTGACAATGCCCCTCAATATTATTTTTAATAAATGTTTAGCTAAGAGTACATTTCCAAAACGTTGGACAGTTGAACAAATCGTACCAATCCTGACGTCCGGTGATTCCACCGAAGTAACTAATTATAGGTCTATCGCGCTCCTATTTCATTTTGACACCATTTACACCCAATTATTTTTCATGGTAAAAACTGACATAAATATAAATCAACATGGATTTCACAAGAAACGTACGATACTTACAAACTTAATTCATTTTATCCATAATATTAATGCACTATGACTGTGAGACCTGCGGTGTGCACTAATTTTTCTAAGGCTTTTAACGATGTCTATCACTCCACTTTGGTAAAAATGGTGGGAAACTTCGGTGCGTTTGTTGCAAAGTTACCAAACCGATAGAACTCAGAACTAAGGGGCCCCACTTGCGACCCTTGCTTTTAATATTTTTATATTTTATATTTGTTTTCAGCATTCAGTACCAGCTTCATTAGTAGATGACTTAAAAGCAAAAAAGAAATCTATTCTCAATCTGACATTTTGGATCTCCAGAATGATCTGAGGTTTACAGTCTATTTTAAAAATCACAGTGTATAGAACCTCTATACACCTTCGTGTGTGGACTGTATCTTGCTCTCGTACCGTCAAACGCACTTTCCCTTGTGGTGGTCAGTTCGGTACTGGCGCGCTGGGCGGCATCCCTTTGGCTGCACAAACGGTCTGGCACGCACTTGGACCGTGATTGATGCATGATAGTCACGTGACTCTGGCGTGTTCACACATAGCGGGGTTTCACATATAGCAACGAAAACTAATAGGTTCTTAACATGCCCCCCGCCTAGAAAGAATGTAAGTTGTTTCAAAATGAGAAAGTTCAAACTAAACACTTATTACAATGGTCAAATGAAACTTAAACATGATGACAAAGTGTCAGGTAGAAAAATGAAAAATGTAATTTAAAGGTTAGTAATTGGAAGCGGACACAACTTTAGGACAGCGCGTTTTATCACTCCCGATGTGGTCTTGACTGAAACGACGCGCACAATATTGTCACTACCTGGATGAAGTTCAATTATACGCCCTAGCCGCCATTTGAACGGGGGTAAATTGTCATCGCGAACTAAAACCATTGTACCAACTACAAGATTATGCTGATTCTTTTTCCATTTAACTCTTTCTTGTAATTGACCAATATATTCCTTCGTCCATCTTTTCCAAAAGTGTTGTTTAAGGACTTCCAATTGTTCAAAGTGAGAAAGACGATTCAAAGGAATATCCTGTACATTTGGATAGGAAATTGATTGAAGTGAACGACCAATTAATAGATGAGCTGGAGTTAACACCCCTAGGTCGTTTGGGTCAGAAGAGAGTGGCGTTAGAGGTCGAGAATTCATTACGGCCTCTATCTGCGTGAGAACTGTGTAAAAACTTTCAAATGTTAAAAGGACATTAGATAGTATTCTTTTGATGTGATGCTTCGCTGATTTCACTCCTGCCTCCCAGAGACCTCCGTGGTGAGGCGAGTAGGCTGCTATAAAATGCCACTGTATGTTTAAGTCCAATCCGCACTGATTTTTTACAGAATCTGAGTTGTTTCTTAAAAAATCGCCCAATTCTTTCAACTGATTACTAGCCCCCTTAAAGTTGGTACCATTGTCAGTATATATGTTGGTTGGTCTACCCCTGCGAGCTATGAACCGTTGAAATGTCTCTAGAAAGGCTTGTGTTGACAATTCAGTGACAAGTTCGAGATGAACTGCCTTGCTAGTCAAACAAATAAAAAGTGCGAGATAGCATTTTTGTATTTTACATCCGCGTCCCTTGCGATCTTTTATTTGGAAAGGGCCGGCGTAATCAATGCCTGTGTCTGAAAAAGGTGGCCTTGGTGAAATTCGCGCCTCTGGAAGATTACCCATTATTGGAGTCGGAATAGTGGGATTAAATCGAAAGCACACAATGCATTCTCTTACAATGCGCTTGGCAAGATTTCTACCTGCGACTGGCCAGAAAGTTTCCCTGATATGGGAGAGAAGTAATTGTGGGCCGCAATGCAGAAGGACTTTGTGTTCGTACCTAAATAACAAGTAGGTAAAATGATGTTTTGAACATAAAAGTGCTGGGTGCCTTTTATGAAATGGGTATAATGAATGTTTAAGTCTACCTCCTACACGAATTAGACCATCGTCAAGAAAAGGGGTCAAGCTAAGAAGTCTGCTTTTTGAGGAAACCTGATTTGACTTTGAAAGTTCATGTATTTCCCTTGAAAAGCTTTCGCGTTGAGACAACTTGGTTAAAACTTCCTTTGCATGACGGAGTTCGAAGATTGTTAAAGGTTTGTGATGTCCCTTGGAAGACTTTGTTTTGCATGATTTAATAAAGCGTAGACAATAAGCTGCAACTCTAATTAGACGCATGAAGGATGAAAATCGGTTAAATGGGAAAAGATCGTTGTGATGTATCTGAACAAAGGATTGAGCTATCTTTCGAATTTCTGGAAGTTCCGCGAATGGAACTGAGCTTCCGCAGGTAATATCCTTTGGCCATTTATTTCCCGACTCTTGAAGCCAACTAGGTCCATGAAACCAGAAGGATGCTGATAAGATGTCTTGTGGTGACATTCCACGTGACAAAATATCTGCTGGATTGTGCTCAGTTGGAACGTATCTCCAATCCTCACTTGATGTTAAACTCTGAATGATAGATACACGGTTTCCAACAAAAATTTGAAGACTGTGCGGTGAGCATCTTAACCATGCAAGCGCAACTGTGGAATCACACCATAAAAAAACGTTGTCAATTTTTAATGTAATTGACCTTTTAACTTTTTCATATAGTTGTGACAAAAGTAAAGCACCGCATAGTTCTAGTCGTGGGATGCTGAGAACTTTGAGAGGGGCAACTCGCGATTTGGAGGTTAAAAGTCCAACTTGAACATTGCCCACTGCATCACTCGTACGTATATAAATGCAAGCACCGTAAGCGATGTTCGAAGCATCCGAGAAACCATGAAGTTGAATTGAAATAGGATTTTGGCAGGAAATGTTTCTGGAAATTTGCAACGAATTTAATTCCTGCAATTGTGATCGAAAGTTAAGCCATTTTCGACACAAGTCTGAAGGTACCGGCTCATCCCACGCAAGTTTTAAAGTCCAAAGAAGTTGAATAATTACTTTGGCCTTAATAACCACGGGACTTACAAGACCGAGAGGATCATAGATTTTCGAAACCTCAGATAGAATAGTACGCTTTGTCACCTGTTTTGCCGATGCTGGCAAATTGATGCGAAAATGCAAAGTATCTGATTCGCATGACCATAGCATACCCAGGGTTTTGCTTGTTTCGAATGAACCAAAAAAATACGAATCCTGGACTGGCTGTGAAGCCTTGATCCTTTGTAGTAATTGCTTACTGTTGGATTTCCATTTCCTTAGCTCGAAACATGCTGATTTTAAGATTGATGAAACGTCCTGACACAAATGTACTGCCTCTTCGAAACTGTCAGCTCCAGATAGCAGATCATCGACGTAGAAATCCTTACTGATGACTCGAGATGCATGAGGATTCAATGATTCGTATTCGATAGCTAACTGTTTTAAGCAGCGTGTGGCTAGAAAAGGAGCACTTGCCGTGCCATAAGTCACAGTATTAAGAGAGAAAGTTTGAAGTTCATCCATGGGATCTGCTCTCCATAGAATAAGCTGCAAAGGATGATACTCCTCTTGGACTAATATTTGTCGGTACATTTTACAGATGTCTGCAGAAATTACATACTGGTGTTGCCGAAATCTTAGCATGATGGAAACCAGATCATCTTGTACCACAGGCCCAACCATCTGGATAGAATTGTAGGATACACCTGATGAAGAGGGAGCTGAGCTGTTAAAGACTACTCTAAGTTTCGTAGTAGAGCTATCCTTCTTTAGAACGCCATGGTGTGGTGAATAGTATCTAGGTTTGGAATTGGATGAAGCAAAAATTGACATGTGGCCTAGATTGTGGTATTCGGTCATAAAATCTGTGTACATGGCCCTTAATATGGGATTTTTCGAAAGTTTGCGTTCCAGCTGCAAGAATTGGTTTGTTGCCTGTAACTTGGAATCCCCTAAAACTTCTGATGATTTCTTAAGTGGAATGGCTACAGTGAATCTACCATTTGAACCGCGCTTAAAATTATCAGAGAAGTGTTTTTCGGCTTGAAATTCCTCATCCGACAGGATCGGCTCACTTGACAACTCTTCGATTTCCCAAAACTTGGCTAACTGCTTTTGAACATCTAAAGTGGAGAGATGACAGAAAGAATGATTTGGGGTGGAAATGCCTAACGGACCAGAAATGAACCATCCTAATCTACTGTTATGTAGAATAGGCTTGTGTGACCCGAGAGATATCTTTTCATTATCAAGTAAATCCCAAAATGTATCTGCGCCAATTAGAAGATCCACTTGACCTGGTTCATGGAATTTAGGATAGGCTAACTGACAGTGGGATGGTATTTCTAACTGGATGGGATCGAAATAGCAATTCGGTAATTCACCCGTAATTTGTGGGATAACTAAACAAGTTAGTTGTCTTGAAAACTTGGAATAACAGGATTTGAATTTGACAATGCATGAGTGTTTTATGCTGGAATTGCTTTGACCAATGCCTAAAATTGAGGAATTGAATTTGTGTTTTTCGATACCTAACTTGTTAACAAATTCTGAAGTAATAAAGTTGGACATTGAAGCACTATCAAGAAGTGCTCTGCATAAATGTTTTTCACCATCAGAATCAAATACTTCAACTACCGCGGTGGCAAGCAAAACTTGGCTTTCGGGGTAGGAATTGTGTAATGTTACCTTACCTTGAATAGGAGTTTTCGATGATTCGGGTTTTGAATCAGAAGAAGTAATCGATTCCTTTTCCGATTCAGCTTGATGCAATAGCGAGTTGTGTTTTTGATTACACTGCCTGCAGTGACCTGAACGACACTTTTCAACAGGATGCCCACTGTGTAAGCAATTGGGGCACAATTTTAAAGATTGAACTGTTTTATATCGTTGGTCAATGGACAGTGCTAGAAACTTCGGACATTGAAAAATGGAATGCTGTTCTTTGCAATGATAACATGCAAATGTCTTCTTTTCATGAGAGGAATAAAATGCTTTCTTTGGTTTTCCTTTGTGCATTGAAACTTTGTCAAGAAAATCAGCGCGATTTGAAAGAAATGATTTTAATTCTGATAAGGTGGGCAGTTCCTCATTGAACTCTAGCTGTTCCCATTCTCTTATCGTATCGACATCTAATTTGCTCGTTATCAAAAATATGATCAAAGGATCCCAAAACTGAGTTTTTATTCCTAAATTTTCAAGTGAACGCATGTTTTTTGAAATGATATCGACTAAATTTCTAAAAGAATTTGACGAATCAGATTTAATATCATGAATGTTGAAAAGAGCCTTAATGTGATTGTGAACCAACAAAGGCTTGTTCTCGAAACGCTGACATAAAATGTCCCACGCTACATCATAATTTTCGGAGGAAATATCAATGGATTGGATACACTGAACTGCTGGCCCTTCTAGTGAAGCTTTCAGGTAATGGAATTTTTCGATAGAATCAAGATATTCACTTTTGTGTACAAGTGAGACGAAAGTATCTCGAAATTCTTGCCATCGCTCATATTGACCCGAAAACTTTGGCAGTTCAATGGTAGGAAATTTCGCATGTGGTTTCCGGTGAAAATTTGAATTTTGGGGAACATTGGCAATGATGGATGTGCTCGAATGAGTTTCATCTTCCGTTGAATTTCTGTTGAAATCATTGTGCGATGAAATGAACTGTTTTGCTTTCGAAATTAAAGCAAAATACGAAAACTCAAATTTTTCCAACTCAGATTCCGTGAAATCATTCGAATTTAAGCCCTCAAGTTCAAACTGAATTTCAGAAAATTCCGAAAGTAAATTCGATTCAATTTCTTTCAAGCGTAATTCAATTTCGAGTAGTGTCGCTCGATTAGGATTTTCAGTTTTCGCGGCATGAAAATAATTTGAAAAACGCGTTAACCTGCTTTTTATGCTAGCCCGTTTTCTTACCAAAATTTGAATTCGAGCATTTACTTCACCATCTTCGGTATCTGGGCTGGCATTTTTTGAAATTTTTAAAATCAAATCAACAATGAATTATTTTCAGAATTTTGCGAACTCGATATCACTGAGATGCACTGAAATCTCGATCCTAATGCAACGTAAATGACTCTTTGAATTAAATTTACACCAAAATTGCATTTGCAGTTTTTCCAAATGTAAATTGGCAAATTTCTTTACGATTGGAACTCCTTTTTACAAAAAAATTCAACGATCTTTGGATGAAATGTACAATTTTGTTTGGAAAACGTTGATGAACAATGAATGAATGGACGCAAATAACTATACGCAGTCGATCGTCAGTTTGTCTTAGAAAACGGAAAACTTTGGCACTTTTTCCGATTGTCCGTAACGCGAACGCACAACGCGATGAAACAGTTCCGACGGCGACAGTTTTCTGCATGCAACGAGGTTACCTTGATTTTGCTGTCCGACGGCGAGTTTGTTTTTATCGTTGCGACAACAATCTCTCACCCGACTGAATACAACTTCAAATGCTTGTCCAGGATACGCTGCTGGATGTGAAGACTCTTGAAAAAACCAATTGACTAACCGAATCCGTTCAATGAACCGTGAATCCGAATGAATAGCCAAGAAATTCTTGTTTCTGTCCAAAAATCCGATCGAATGGACCAAAAAATGTATAGAACCTCTATACACCTTCGTGTGTGGACTGTATCTTGCTCTCGTACCGTCAAACGCACTTTCCCTTGTGGTGGTCAGTTCGGTACTGGCGCGCTGGGCGGCATCCCTTTGGCTGCACAAACGGTCTGGCACGCACTTGGACCGTGATTGATGCATGATAGTCACGTGACTCTGGCGTGTTCACACATAGCGGGGTTTCACATATAGCAACGAAAACTAATAGGTTCTTAACACACAGAGTTTTTTAAATCCCAATAAATTCCAAGTAATACAATTTACAATGAAAAGGAACATATTAATGTTGCCTTAAAACTCGATAATAAGGAACTTGAAAAAGTTCCTCGGGTTAAAGATTTCGGCACCATCAGTTTACATTTGAAGCACATGTAGAAAATATTGTAAAGCAAGACTTGAGAAATCTTGGTTTTGTATTACGTAAAGTAAAGGCTTTAACAGCCACAAATCAGTCATTCTAATTTATAATAGCGTCATCAGATCAATCTTGGAATGCTCATTTAGAAATCTATATTTTAGATTTAATAGAGATGGACGATACTATTCGTATGAACATAACCTACAGTTTTATGAATTGAAGTCACTTAAAACACGCAGAAATTGCTCAGACTTAATTCTTCTTTATAAAATTCGAATCTTCAATCTTATTGAGTCATCTTCCTATTCAAGTCACTTATCTTTTAGTCCTTACCAAGTGCGCACTATGCTAAGCTTTTTTATAGAGAGATTGAGATCTTACTCTCCGCTTATTAGATGAACAGCTAATATACGGGCTAAATTTGTTTAAATGAAATGTTTACAAAATTTTGCGAAATTCGGTTAAAACTGTCTATTCGTTTTCCTATTCTTCCCGTATGTATGTTTCATATGCGCTATTGGGTAGTCTTTAGGTATGTAAATAATGAAATAAATACCAATATCGATTGACGCAAAATTTACACGTTGGCAGAGAAGTGTAGACAGTATTTCTTAATTTTTCTGCCTTGGTTTTCTGAGGATGCTTTCTGAAAGGAGTTTTATTTAATATGTAATTAAAATATACAAATTTGAGTATATAAATAAATAAAATATTTTGTTGTCACAAAAATTCATACATAAAATCTTAAATTTTTCACTTTTTCAAAACATCGGAAAACATTATTTTAGACAACAAATTTGGATCTGCCTTTATCGCTTCATTTATAATGGTGTAAAAGTTTACCCTTTCTTGAAAAATACGGTGTAGTTCCATATGGAAAGGATGATATTCGTGTTTTCTAATGGTGCGATCAACGGTTGATTGGGATGTATCACATGAGCTATTGGATGACTACTGACCTGGGGATTTCCAATTCTTCCTCCTCACCCTCCAATTTCCATTCACAATCAATACTACCACTAGCATCAAACCGTTCCATTAAACGCAGACAACAAAGTACTTTTTCCATCAGGTATGTACAATAAATCATATCAATTAATTCAACTTTAGGAAAATTCATATAAAGGTATTAAGTTAAAATAAATCGCGAAGTATGAAACATAGGTAAATGATATACTTAATAAACGTTTTGTAAGATCTTTCAGAGAAAATAATAATATGTATGGTATGGCACTGAAGAAAATCGAGATTTTTCAATTTATTTTGATCCCCTGTAATATGTAAATCAAATTCCGTTGCATTTAGCTTTTATGTGATCTTTGACTAACGCTAATATCAATTTCAAGTGTGAAAACTAGTATTTTTTTAGAAAAATTAAAATATTGGTAAAATTATTGGGTTTAGGGATGTATCATCATTAATAAAAAAGAAGGTGCTTTATTTTTCCCGCGTTTTCTATTTACCATTATGATAACTCTTGAAACCAATTAGGTTAATAAACTTTACTCTATCGTTGACTCGTCTGTACATATTTTGGCATTTTCAGTCTTTTTTAAACAATTCTCCTCAAAAAATAAATGATGTTATTTGCTGACTAATAAATTTTTCTAAAGCGTTAGAAAAGACTGAAATATTTTTAGTTTCTTAGTAGATCAATTTGTATGGGCTTCTTTGAGAGGTTGTTTTAGAATTTAATTTATTAATACTTTCAAACATTCTTCTATTTATAGAATTGAACAAGAGAAAAACAATAATTTGCTTCACTTTCATTTTAGACACGCTGGAGTTTGTGGTTTGAATCTCAATTTTTGGTGTAAATGTGGATGTATTTGTCCGACATTTTACAGATATATAAATAATATCTTGGCAAATTGCCTTAATGAATTAATGAACGAATAAACTTTTACAAAAAAAATAAATCCAAAAGCAAAGAAATTCGGCGTTTAATTGGGAATTCTCAGATGCGGAAATTCCGGACGTAATTTTTGTTATATGTTTCTTCGTATAGACGAAGACATACTTGTGTACATTACAGGGTGATTAAACATAAAATGATAATGCAAAAATACGAGGAACTGCTTAAAAGTAATGACTGAATACTAAATGTTGTGATCATGATTTTTCATTATAAACTGTATTCTCAGTCCTCGAATTTCAATGTTTCACACGCATATAACATTGTATCTGTAATCATTATGCAAATTTATGAAACAGTATAAAAATGTATACGACCACCCTTCCCGCATTAAAATTTCTTTTATTTAGTTAGAGAAAATTTGCGACTTTAATTAAAATTCTAAAATAGAATCTATGTTCCAAATGTAATATTCAGAAGGTAAAAACTTCAAGTATTAAGTTGGACCACAGCAGCCGGTGTCTCTCGCTGAAAGTTTTGCAATGCAAATGAAATGGTTTGGATGAACATCTCGACTTTGCGGGGTTGACTTGTGTTCACTTACAACTGCGTCGTACTTTTGGAACACACATACATCCATTAACGACAATGCGCAAGCTGTAAGTGCCTGTTTAACCCTTTTAGTCACTTACGTGTTTGTAGGATAATTCATATCAATTTGTCTACAAATACTGTTTTTAACTCAGTCAACCAGGTAATGAAAATAAATAGGAATGAATATAAACTTCAAATATCAAAAATGATATCTGTTCAAACTAGCCGGCTACTGTAGTGGTTCATGGCTTATTCACTAGCAGTAAGCAGCAGTTGCTCTGCGCAGTAATTTTTTTTTTCAATAAAATAATGATACTTGCATAATCAATTTTCAAAATAATAATTATTATTTTATTTTTTTTTACACACTGTTCTAGACTGGTAATATACTTCCGTGGCGTGGGTAACCTGTAAAATCAACTTTCGGATCACGCAACAACCACAGTAACTAAATAAAACCAAAAAACACCTGGTGATATAATGCATGTAAGTAAATATAAACTCCTTAAATTGATAACAGAAAGAAAAATTGAAGGTAAATGTGGCATAGGTAGGAAGAAACATTCTTGGTTGAAA